TCCAATCTGTTCACCCCAAAAAAAAAAATTAAAGCCAACCTATTATTAATTTTGTATGGTGACATTGCATTATATTGGTAATAAGATATTATTAGTAATCATTTTATTTATAAACAGACTTAAATTAAAAATATTTATTTGTACTTATAAAAAATATATATTCGCAAAAAAGTGGCTGTTTTATTTTTTTATATAAAAACTAAAACAGAAAAGTTATTTTTATGAATAAGTAAATAAAAAATTATATATTAATAATAGGTGGCATGAAAATTTTAATCATATTCGAAGCATGGAATGAGGAGTGGGCCCTTAGCACTGTTAAGAAGGTGGGCAATTTTCTCTGGAAGCAGCACAGCATCGGACCCAAAAAAGGGTTTGCCTTTCAGTCTTTCATCGATTCACTGGTAAAAAGAAAAAAATCATTTGAGTTGAAGGTTTTTTTTTTTCCCCTCAATTATACTTAAAAAATTACTAGAGATCATAAATTTAACTTAAGATTAATTTTATCTCTTAACATATGAAATTTATTCTCTCATCATCATAATTAGAGTAAATAATTTGGATCAAACTCAAACTTTTACTTGCTTAAAAAATTTTAAGACTAGACCTAAAAATAATATTTTTTAAATGTTTGGGTTTATATAATCAAACCCAAATAGGCTCAAAAAATTCAAGCCAAGTCCAATCGAGTTTGAACTTAGCCTGAATATCCGAAAAAAAATTATTATTTTTAAAATTATAATAAATATTAATTAATTTTTTAAATTTTATGTCATTTTATATTAAAATATCATATAATTGAGTGCATTACTATTGTTATTTTTTAAAAAAATTAAAAATATTAATATTTCATATTTTATTAATTTTAATCAATAAAATGTCTCAAAATAATATTTAAATTATATTTTAATATTATTTTACATTTTATGACCCAATTATTTTTTAAATTTTTTTGAGCCCTATACATATTCAAAAAAATATATTTTATATTTTTTATAAAATAAGATAATTACTTTTAAAGAAAAAATTAAATTAAAAGTAAATTTAACAATAAAATTAGGGCATGTATGAATTCTCAATTCTACTATTAGATAAATATAATAAATAAAATAATATTTTTGAATAATTATTTTGTTATTGTCTAGGCCAGAGTTGGTTAAAAATTAAAAATAAACTATAATAAATACTCCTCATATATAAGGGTCAAAGAATATAAAAGATTAAAGAAAAATAATTTCAAAAAATAATATTTTACTCATAATTAAATAATTTTATTTTATAAAATATAATAATGAATATTTTTTTCATATTTTTAAAAATAAAAAATATAGTTTACTCAAAAGTTATTAAGAACTTTAAATTAATTGGGGCAATAATTTTAAATTAGTGATCTAATTATAATTAAATTGAAATCAACTTGATCATAATTAAAATATACAAAATATTTTTATATATAATCATAATAAGAGTAATATTTAAATAACTAAGACATTAACTTACAAATAAAAAAAGCATTTATGAATAAATTACACATGATAGATAACACAACAAAATAGTAACAGAATTGCTTAAATATAAAGTTAATAACTTATTATTATTTTTCTTTTATTCTTTTAAAGTTAAAACATTTTATACTTAACATAATTATTTAAAAATTAAAATTAATTTAAAGAATTAAAAAATATTTTTAAAAAATTATTAATATTTGAATTAGTTTAAATAAGTCTGAAATTTAAAGGTGTCAAAATTATAGTTGACTATATAAACTTTTAGACGTGATAAGATACCTTAACTTCATAACATTTGAATTACCACTCTAACGATGGCATTAAAAATGCCAAGCGTACATTTGTCAATCATGGGTTCCACCATTTTTTTTATTACCTAAAGCCTCCCTTTCTCCTCTTTGTGCTATTTACTTTGCCACTGCGAAAATGAAAGGGACATGCATGATGCAATGACTGTCTATCGTACTTGTTAAGGATGGTATGCCGGCACCGAGTTATGGTCCCATGGTGAAGATTAGAGGATCGCTGATTATGTTACATAGATGCTAATACGCACGTATCCCATACGTTCACAATTTTATTTTTAAAAATATAAGATATAATGCATTTTTTATACATGCAAATGTATTTATAAAAAAATTATAAAAACATTAAAAATATAATTTCAATCTAAAAAATATTCAACATAGCATATATATATATATATACTCCCTCCATTAAAAAATATAAGGTATTTTTTAAGGAGTTGAATGTTAAAAAATGTAAGGCATTTTTAATCTTTTGAAGTATAATTATTGCTTTTTTTTTTAAAGTGCCTCTATTTTTTTTAAAGTGCTTCTATTAATGAATGACTTTATATTTATTATAAGGTGTTTAATGGGAATATATATAAAAAAATAAGGTTAGTTTGAAAATATGTAACTACTTTATTAGGGATAAAATTCAATTAAAAATGCCTTATATTTTTTAACGGAGGAAATAGTTTTTTATAGTAATACCAAACAAAATGTAATTATTAATTATATGTTTATTCCATCTCTACCTAATTGCCTATGGTCTAGTCTCTACAAATAGTTTTATCCTAAGGATTTATGTGCCAAAAGATTATATTCTTACATTTTTATAATAAAAAAAAATATAATTTTTATCCTTTTATTATGTCTAAAACTTTTTTTAAGGAAAACATAATATTTGACTTTAAAAGAAAATCATGGAAATATATTAGAAACAAAAAAATTAATATCATGATATTTAATAAAATTTAATTTTTTAAAAACAATATTAAAATATCTACTTTTAAATATCAACTTAAAATTAAAAAGTATTGAATACATATTAAAAATTAATTTTTTTAAATTAAAAATAATATTTTGATGCTCTATTAATACATATATAAAAAAAATACCAACAAGTTTTGCTATCATAATATATGAGATAATTTAATGTATTGACGCTTCATAAATCGATGAGTCAATCTCATATCAAAACTTGCACGATACTGTTCATTATTTATTTGATATCTTTGACGTGCGAGTAGAAGATCCTCTAGACAATCCCCTGGCCTTGCAATGATGCCACCTCGAAGGTGGCGCCATGGAACAAAATTATGGCAGTTTTTGGTGATATTCAACTTTTCCTTTGAATTGGTACACAAGCATATGAATCATTTTTTAGGTGTGGAGATTCGATGTACCAAACATGGCATGTACATGCTCTAAAGTATACTAACAAAGAGTTGTTATTTTGTCTCAACTCGTTGGAGGTGGGTGGCCATTGGGGTGGCCGGTGATGCAATTTATGTAGGAGGAGGAAGAGAGGCGCGTGCTCATTGAGGTGGCATGTGAGAGAGGGAAGGAAGGAGGAAAGAAGGACACAGGAGGGAGAGTAGGGAAGGAAAGAGGAGAGAGAGGCATATTTTTTTATACTATAAAAGATATTCAAAATGATGGGACTCATATATAACAATAGAATTGAGGAAGTTAAAATGAAAGCCATGGAAACAAAAAAATTTGTAACTTAAGGGATAAATTGACTTCAACTTAAATTTAAAATCTCTATTAACTTTTCATGTATGGTTGAAAATCAAGAGGACCCTTAATTTTTTTTGTTTAGGTATATTAATGAACAAGCAACTGTCATGAGCAGTGGCATATTTAAGGGAGGTTTGGCAGCAAAGCTTTTACCAACACATAGAAGGAGAATATTTAGGTAAATTGGGTGTGTCACACTATTTATAATATGTTCAATTAAAATGCTTAAAGTAATATGAATAAAATTTCTTGCGATATTTTTTAATTGATTTTATGTTTACAACACAATGCACATTTGATTTACTGTTTTTTATTTCTTTACTATTATTAATATTATAATTAATTTATATTTAATATCATATAAATATTATATTTTTATTAAATAAATTATAAATGATATAATGCATATGATCTACTTAGAAATTTTTCCATGTAAAATAGCATATTCGTTGTTGTCACTTTTTTTTTGGGGTCCAACTTGTAATGTAAATTAGGAAATGTCGAATGGCCCAAGTTCAAGCCAAACCAAAATATTCAGCCGCAAGTTAGGCTTTCTTTTGCCAGCCCAGGAGAGACTTGCAATTGGACCTACTGAGGGTCCAGTGTGAAACACAAGTCTTTTTGGGTAAAGAGAGATCACTTGAACTTGAATATTTACCAACGAAAATTAACTTATGAATAATAAGGGGTCTCGTTACTTAACTAAATAATTAAAATTTTAACCTTTAATTTTTATGCATGTAACAATTTAATTGGAAGAGGTTTGTTTACTGCTCTCAATATCTTGGGGAAGCTATTCTCTACTCTCTGTGGAGGCTTATTTCTATTATGAAAAAAAAAACAAGAAATTAAGCATGCAAGTCTATAAAGCTTGATTTGAAATAACTCAATTTTTATATTAGTCCCTACATGTTTAAAAATAACTATAAAAAATTAAAGTTATTTTTGAATAGCGGAAGTCAATGCTTTAAATAATTAAAACTATAAGAATAAGGTATTATTAAAAAGAAAAGAAATCAATCATGCTAGCCTGTAAACCTTGATTCAGTATAATTCAATTTTTATGTTAGTCCCTACCTGCTTAAAAATAAAACTAAAAAGAATAAATTATTTTTGAATATTAAGGGTTAACATTTTAAATAATTAAAACTATAGAGATTGGGTTGCACAACATCAAAAACCAGAAACAAGTATTAATCAAGTCAAAACTATAAATATTAAATGATTAATTTTACACACACATAAAAGCTACATACTTTTATTTTTATATTTTTTGAGTTATTTCTAAATTTATATTGCGTAATTTATTATCTACCAATTATTATTGGTCCGTTTGAATAACTTTAAAAAGTATATTCAAATTATATTTGAGATGTGCTTTTATTAAATTCAACAAATAATTGGATACTCTAAATGGACTTTTGACAGATATAAGTTAAAAATTAAATACACAGTAATCACATGATCAAATTATTTTAAACTATTATTATTCATAAATATTAAAAAAAATACAAATAATAAAAATCCCATCAAGGAAAACAGGAAGCGGAGAAACCGAGGAAAGCTTCAAGTTGGATGTGGCAAGGCAACCTCGCGTTGGCTTATTAGGAATGATAATGATGGGTACAAATATATACAGGCAGTCAGGGACAAAGAGGCGAGGATGAAGCAAAAGCATGTCTGAAATTTCGCAGCCTCCAACGCCTATCTTGCTAGTTTAGTATTCCAAGTTTCAGCATCTTCGAAAATACATTACGTATAGAAAATTAAAGAGCATGAAGCTTCATTGACGCTCGGCATTTCAATCTATTTGATGAAAACCCTAGCAACTCAAACTATAAGTTATAACGTTCCTTCTAAACTCCGCATGGAAGTTTCATCCGCCGCAAGGAAAGGTAAGCCAATAATCGATAACCAAAAACCATTGCTATCAGAGCACCAACCTCCGTCCACCCATCGTCAATTCTCATCCCATTTATGCCTCGCGGCAGGCCTCCATGTTGCACTTTCAACAAAAGTTTATACGTGTGGTAGTTAAATGAAATGTACCGAATCCACGATATGAATTTCGGTACTTCCTGCCAAATTTAAGACCACGTAAATGGGTTAATCAAATGGATTGAAGATTTTGCAACCCAAGAAAACATAAAACAAAAAAAGGGGGTCAGCTTACCTTTACGAAAAATCCTCCGGCTAGCATGAAGGTCATCACAGTCACTGAAGCCAGAGTAGTTGCCTTCTTCAGGTCCATTAGTGTGGCCCCAATAGCCAGTCCAAGTCCCTGCTTCACCATCAGCCATGGTTAGAAATCTGTGTTTATTTTGGTTATTGTGTCGCCTCCTATGTATTTGCATATATGTGTACCTGAGCCGCCACAATGCAGAGGAAGACAGTGAGAATGCTGTAGAAAAAGGAGTCCGCACTTAGTCTCAGACCGGCCATGAAATAAACAACCAGCAGGAACAGTACTGGTAGTATCAAGTCCAACGGAACGTCACTTGTTGTCCTAGCCACAAAATATGCACTTAGTCTGTACATGTCAACTGCTCTCTCCTTTGCCAACATTGCTCTCTCTTGAGGAAATGTGAATATTGCTGTGAACACCGGAAAGAATCCCCAGAACACCGCTATGAAGAAAAGTAACCCTGCCTGTAAATGCAGAGAACTCAAGGTTTTAGAGAAGGAAAAATGGTCCATCTAGTACTGTAAGGTAAGAAGAATAGAAGACTCATATACGTGTTTACCTGGTCTTGAAGCCCTTTTGGATTGTTAGCATCTGATTGCCACCAAAGTAATCCTAAGATGACTGCAGTGGAGAGAACTTGGGTGATTCTTAACCAGCTGAAGTAGTCGTGCCTCCGTTCTTTAATTCCTCTGCAGAACAGTATGGAATATTGCTCACACCACCTTGCACCCCACTGTCTTTTAGGGGAACAAACCTTGGACTTCAGTGATTCATCAAGTGGGATGGGCACCATTAGCTTTCTCTTCTCTGTTTCTGAAACTCGAGTCTCGTATGCTTCTACTAGATACTGCATTTTGTGATTAATTCATTTAGAATCAAATGGAAAAGAAGCAGGGAAAATATCAATAAAGAACTGCCAGAAAAAATTTATATTAATAAAGGTTACTTATTGTCAAAATTTAAATGGATACTTGTTAATTTGTATTAGTCTTTTATTAATAAATATTCATTCAAGTTTTAACAATAATTTATTCTAAATTAATAATAGTTTATCCAAAAAAAATTTTCATTCATATTTTAATAATAACTAATCTTTAACTAACATAAATTTTCTTTAGCTATCCTTCTTCATCGATATTTTTCCAAAGAAGTAGTCTCAAGTGTTCCTTTCTAATAAGATGAAAACTCACCTCATGTACCATTGCTGGTGATGGTTTCCCATTCTTTGTTTTAACTTCTGCATTTCCCATGATCTGCACTTTATCCTCCAACTCGGACGGTACAGAAACATCATTTACGTTTCCATTGGCGAGGTCTAGCAAAAACTCTGCCGGATTCATGGCAATAAGAGGGGAGCATCCTATAGATTGGAAGTAAGGTATTGCTTCAGATGCCTTGCCAAAGTACAGCAAGCTGCCTTTTCCTAGCAGGATCAACTTATCGAATTTGTGAAACAGTCTGCTTGATGGTTGGTGAATTGTTGTCACCACTGTTTTACCAGCCTGCCGTCAAATTAGAGTATTCTGTTGATAAGTTGACACGAATTTGATCCCGAAGGGAAAGAATTAGAATTATATAATTAGTACCTCTGCTATGTCTTGTAGCATCTGAACGATCTTCAAGGCTGTTGTAGAATCCAAACCAGAAGTTGGTTCGTCCAGAAAAAGAAGCGAAGGATTGATTATAATCTCATTACCGATGCAAACTCTTTTCCTCTCTCCTCCAGATACCCCACGAACAAAGGAGCCACCGATCATAGTGTCTTTGCATCTAGGTTACATGAAAAGAGAGCATCCCTCACAGCCCATAATAATTAAATCATAAAGATAAACTTTCTTACCATGCACTTCATGGGAATTGTTACCTTTCTAAGCCAAGCTCATAGATGACATCCAAAGCTCGTTTTTCCTTTTGGTCCTTTGTGAATGTATCGGGAAGTCGCAGCCGGGCTGCGTATGTAAGTGTTTCTTTCACAGTAAGGTGAGGAAACAGAACATCATCTTGAGTCACAAAGCCTATCTTGCTTTTAAGATATTTGGTATACGGCTGGTCATTGTAAGTGATAGAACCACCAGCAGTGGACTGAATCAGCCGGCCTCCAAGCAGATTCAAAAGGGTAGTCTTTCCGCTCCCTGAGGGTCCCATCAGCGCCAAAACTTCTCCTGGATTCACAGAGCCAGTGATCCCATTCAAGATATCCTTCTCCTCATTTGCTGTCATGCCTTTGATCACCACCTTGTAGCTCACATCCTTGAACTGCGCATTACAGAAAAAGAATTTAGTTCGTTGAATTAATTAGCATCAAGGTTTAGCTCAATGCACCAAGATATCTTCAATTTTCTCGTGAACTAGCTATGCACACTACACAGTAAACACCCTTCTTTCTCAGCAAAACCATGTTTTGCACTTTCAAACCCGAACCAAGGTCTTTAAGGTATGCTAGAAATTAATGTGTGTGAACGTGCTGCTCGGCCCTGCTATATGCTCTAATTATTCAAGGTTAACAAAGAGGTAGTCTTGTACAATGCCATGAAATGAAACTCTGTACAAGACTCAACCTGACTATTCTATTATATTGGAGGCGTTGATTGCTAAATGATGTTTCGCCCTAAATTTCCTGCCCAAATACATAGCATAACACATTGAATCATACGCGCTATTTATAGAAGCCTTGAAGACCTAGCAGAGGGGTAGGTAGGTGCAGAGAGGAGAGGAGAGATGCTTACCTTGAGAAAAATCGGCAAAGTGGGTTCCGTTTGAAACTTGAGGTGGCAAGTTCCAGCTTCAATATCCTCCGCTGCAATATACATATGCAATCCTTTTTAAACAATACAACAAGGGAGAAGGAAGATCCTTCAGCAGAAGCCTTTCATTCTTTTCCAGGCAGCTAAGAGTTTTGCTCAGTACAGTGCGGGCGTACACATATGATATGATGCATGTTTTATAAGTATGCTTAATGAAATATGTGGTGGTATTCTCCTTAATTAGCAGGGAAAAAAAAATATTAGAGCATTAATGAGAGCATTCCGTTTCTCATGACTTCAATGCACAGTGCTAATGTATGTGTATGAATCAATGAAAAGTCAAAGAGACTGATCAAAAGACAAGAGACAATAAAAAGTTAAGAGCTTGTTTGGTTGGAGGAAGGAGAGAAAAAATTTTTCAATCCCCTCCACTTTATCAAACAAAAGGAGGATAACCCTTGTTTGAATGGGATAAGGGGAGGATTTGGTAAACTCCAAGGCCTCCCCCCAAATTGGGGGGAACTCTCCCTGCCCCTCTCCCTCTCCTTTTTTCTTCTTTTCTCAAATCAAACAAGGTTTAAGTGCGAAGGAGGCACGAAAGAAGTCAAACTTTAATTAGAATGAGGGGCCCATCATCGAGACAAAATGTTCTCCCGCAAAATAGGAATACAGAACGACAAACAATGAGAAGAACTTGAAAACAGAGGGGGCAGCTCCAATAATGGTGGTGACATGGAGCTCGGATATTCCCCTTAATTTTTTTAACACAGCTGTCTGTTATATTTTTACACCAAAAAATTTTAAGTGAGTCCAGTTTAAGGGTTCGCCAAGACTAAGCTATACCTAACTTTAACAAACGCTTACTAATTATCTAATATAATAAGGTACTCACATCAATAATAGCGAGATTTGAACACATCGCGGAGGGTTATAGGCCAACTGAACTAACACTGGTTGAGTAGTTGTCTGTTACTATTTAAAACTGACTTGTTCTTTTTTTTCATATTACAATAGCATACGAAATTACGAATAAAAACCACGAGGAGACAAGAAGTGCAACTTGCTCGTGTTTTTTTTTTTTTTTTTTTTTTGGGGTCCAGAGTGCAAGTGGTCGCTTGCTAGAGAAAAGTATGGAATAGGACAGAACATGATCCAACTGGTTTGATGTCTAGTTGACAAGAACGGAAACAATTTAATAGGAGGGGTCATTCCAAATCCGAATTCCCGTTTTCCACACCAGCAAATAGTTGAGATAATCACTCCTGGCTTTGATTGCTCTCTCAATGGTTGCCAAGTCCTCTCGTACTAAAGTGACTAGTGGATTAAATGCCAGTGGGTGGATCTAAATGTATTTTGGTAAATATATATCGCAACAAGAATTTTCAGGGCATTCGAAATATGCTAATTGCCCGTGACTCGCTAAGGAGAACACGCACACGCAAGTGGCATGGTGTAACCTATAACTGCACCACTCGCTTTTGTGCTGGGAGCAACCTGCACCACTCGCTTTTTGACCACCCAGGTCATGCTTTTTGTATATATTTTTTATTAAAAACCTATAACTTAACCTACTTTAAATCCAATTAAATTTATTTATTAAACGAACTCAAATTAAATTTAATTTTTTAATTAAATTTATATAATTAAATAAATCAAACTTATTTTTTAAAGATTTAGCCCATGAATTCAATAAGTTGGCCTATTTATACACATATATATTATGTAATAATATATCATAAATACATCAATTTTAATCATTCTATTTTTTTTTTATTTGTAGTTATGCTTTTGATCATATTGGGTCTGTATACTTTATTATTATATTGTATTATAGTTTGTAAGCGCTTTCAATTATTATATATTATAATTGATAAATTAAGTTATATATTGTAAACTATAACAATTTTAAAATATACTTAAAATATTTAAAATTAAAATATGAGTCTATTTAAAAATTTTATTTTTAAATAAATTTTCAGACCAAGTTAAATTTTAAATAGGCTCAGGCTTAAGCCGTAAAAAAATCCTTATACAAGCTTTTAATTAAGCTTAAGTATTTAATTTAACATATAGGCTTAGACATATGACCAAAGCCTAACTCGACCTAATCTGTTCCATCCCTAAATAGTATATTACAACACAGTTTTAAGCTAAACTAAATTTATAATTTTTGATGAAGATGCTTTTTAAATTAATTTTTTGATAAAAAATTATTATTATTATTAAAAATATACAGTCTATCTAATATATAAAAAAATATGACCTGATTCTACCGACAGAAGAATTACAAATTTGTAATTGAAGTTGATAAAAAAAAAAATATTGGGCACATGATAGTGAGTAGTGACTACTGACTAGCCAACCTATATATAACACATCAACCTCACGCATATAGCCAGTACCACTGGATTCATAGTGTACAGTGAAGGAGCAAAAACAAAAAAACAAAAAAAAAAGTCAGTTATTAAGAGTGCGTTTGAGAATTTAAAATTGAATGAAAATAAATAATCATTAATAAAATAAAATAGAGTGGAGTGGATCAGAGTGGAGTAAAACAAAAATCTTCATTATTTGGGAGTTTTTATAAAATAAATGGAATATAACTTTTTTTTTTCAATATTACTTATATGACTAATTAAAGAAAATAATAATGTCCATTAAATAATTATAATATTTGTCCAAAAAATAACAATAATAATAATTAAAATTAATAGTCAAACAAAATGCCCAATAATTAAAAATAAAAAAAAACAAGTAACATAATTACTGAAGCAAACATACATGTTGTACCAAAAAAAAACATAGTAGAATTGTAATGTTGAAAGGGGATAGAGAGAGAGATCACTGGAGCGAGAGAGATATGGTGGAATATAAGACTTTGCACTATGCTTGAATGCTCATCAGCTATCCCTACTTGAAGATTTGGGCACACTAGGTCGGGCATCGACTAGGGTCAAACCCTGCCTTACCTGAACATGCGTAAGTTTTTTATTTTTTTAAAAAAATTTTAATAAATAATATCTATCTTGTGGAATTATTTTTTGTTGAAATTTATCATGAATTATATTATTTTTATAATTTTTAAATATTTTTTATCATTATAATTTTCTAAATCTCTTTCAAAATTTAAAATTTATTTTTAACTTATTGTTATATAAAAATAATTGGCAAATGTTGTTCAATTAAACTTTTAAAATATTACTTTTGATTCTAATATTAATTTTATGAAGAATATATTTTAAGTAATAATAATGTTTTTTAAGGAAATTTTTTTATATCTTTATAAAAATATTTTCAAGTCAATCAAGTTAGTCTAACACTCGACTGCACATCAAACTAGGCACCGAGTAGTGATGATGTCTGACCCAACCTTGCCCATATGTGGCTCTAGCCAGAGGCGAGAGAAATGGTGGAAAAATAAAATAACATATGATATTTTTTTATTAAGATAGGAGGTTAAGAGTAATTTTATAAATAAAATAATAATATTATGTCACTTTATTCTTAACCTCCCAATTTAAAAAGGCAAAAAATATTAAACTGTAGATGACAAAGGAGGTCTCAAAGGCCCATTTTTGCTATTCCATCCCCTTAAAAAAAACATATAAACAATGATTTAAATTTCTTAGCTATCTCACTTCATTCTATTTTAATTTCCTATAAAAAAAACTTCTAAATATAGTGTAAGTGCTTTCTATTTCAGTTTGTATTTCTAAACATTACAATACGTTTTTGAAATTATTTTTCAAAACAAAACCAAAAAAAAATTTGGTTGTATTAATTTGAAGATAGTTTTTAAAATTAAATAATTGATCGATATTGATGGTTCCCTGTGATTAATGACAGTGATTTGTTGCAATTATTGGTTAAGATAATTGTAATTTTTAATGATTAAATATAGTATATTTTGAAAATAAGAAAAATAAAATAAAAATAACTTTAAAATGTTTTTATTTTAAAAAATAAAAAATGATAACCGTTTTGACATCTCTTCAGACCAGAGCCTTCTTCATTTTTCAATGTTCATCTGACGAGCACAATTTGATGAAATTTAGACCATTCAGCTGATTTAATTTGAATGGTTTAAATTTAAATTTTATTTTATATTTAATAAAATAAAAAATTATAAAATAATAAAAAATTTCAATAAATTTGTTTATTAGCAACCAGACAGTCTAGGTTTAATTTGAACTGTTCAATTTTAATATTAATTTTTTATAATTTTATAACTTGATTATCCATATTTATTTTGAATAGTCCAAATTTAAAATTTTTAACTAATAAATTTTTAAAAAAATATTTTGTAAAAGAAAAGTATTGTTAAGATATTATTTTTATTTTTAATATTGTATTTATTAAAATAAAAATTATAAAAAATTAATGTTAAATTTAGATTGTCCAGAATATATCTAGATAGATAATTTATAAAAATATTAAAATTAAATTGGGATAAATTATTGTTAAAAAGTTTGTAAATTTTAAAAATTAAAATTAAAATTAAAAAAACTTTAAATTTGGACCGTTCACGATGAAGAACGCATGAACACCTGATGAGCACGGTAGACGGACCCCTTCGGACCAGTTACTATGAATGAATAGATTTAGGTGCATGTGATTGATGAAAAACGAGTGAGGGCGAAGAAGAAAGGAACTTACGAATGTCTTCGTCCCTGAAAGGTTTAGAGTCAGTGGTTTCATCAGGAGTAATAGTGAAGCCAGTGAAGGAGAAAGAGAGGCCCGAGCTGGCGCTGGAAGCTCGGCTGAGGGCGGCGCCGCTGCCTACGTCATCCAAATCCACCTTTATCTGAGCACTCCTACTCTTCCTTATGTGGCTGTTTTTCCCTCCCGGCGACATCCTCCTACTTGACTTCCGAGACAGTGTTCCTCCGCTTCCCCCACTATCCATTATTCCGTTCATCGACTCACTCGACGGCGCTGACTTCAGCGCTGCAACCACCTTCTCCACCAGCTGCTCGGATCTCGTCCTTGCCAACCCACTCGAATTTGCTTTCTCCATCTCTGACATGATATTACACAGCAAATGAATCCCATCTTTAGATTAAGTTGACCAATATATAACTGTTAATTTATTTACAGGGAAATCATATCATTTTTGCTCAGCATACACTTGAGTGGCAAGCATTTGTTTAGAGGTTTGATATTACCCTCCATCATTGTGATTGTCATTCCATATATTAATGCAAACAACTATACTGTAGATTTCTCGCAATAATTAAATCCATACCGGAATTTAAACTGATATATATGCTTTATAACTTGTTTCCTGCCAGGCGTATATATCTAGGGAGAGTTTTAAAGAAAAAAGAAAAAGAATGGGTCGGGAACGCTATTACTTCTGTAGAAGATAACACTTCTGACACGCTGGGAGCCAGAGATAGCCAATACGTGATGTGGCAGTCTCTACTACTCAAAATGTTATTGGTGGAGATGAAAGATATATATATATATATATATAACAATTATTTAAGAGACTTTTGAATGTTACGGATACATATAGGAGAACATCAGCGATAATACAAGAGGATAGCTGAGTTTGGCCATACCGCTTCAGGCGAAAAATAAAGTTGCGAAGAAGAAGACGATGAGGCGTCGACGACAAAGAGAGATGGCTATTTTTACTTTAGAGATCCTATACGGAATGGGAATTAACGTTGCTCCAAAACTAGCTATAAATTTAAAGAACCAGCTGCTCCATCCACGTGGACTTTATTTGGAGCACATTCATGACTCACCATCACACACCCTCTTACATACACGAAGCAATCAAGAGGCCCAGCCACAGTTACCAGAATACCCTTGTTCTATCCTATCACAGCAAGGCAAGTGTACATGAACCCCATAAAATTCAATTCTTGATAAGTACCGCACCTGTTAAATCCGTAGAGATATCTAATGGACATGCATTAATCACCTCACCTCATTCCTTCCGACCCATCAATCTTTGCCGTACACGTGTCCGGGATTTAACGTGTTTCTCGTTTCTCATTTTCCCAGTATTGTGATGACTGATGAGGATGGAGATGAATGATGTGAATACATGATTGACATTGGCATGCATGCACGCGTACTTTTGTTATTAATGAATTGCTTAATGCCAGTTTTAACCTTGTATATGTGCATGCAAGAGGGTGGCGGATGTGCCGGCTTGTGATCAAGTAGCCCAGTTGCAGACAAAAGCCATGAAGAAGGATGACGACCTCGCTGCTCCAAGGCTGCCCTGCACGGGAGGGAAGCTAGGTTCTTGGATTTTTGCGTCCAAAAAGATGTCTGCATCTTCCCTTCTAAGATAGATTCCTGATATTTCGTGTGTTTCCCATTCCATTTGTGTAAGTTCTTTGAATTTAATTAGCTATGTTGCTACTGCAAAAGGACAAACTCGTATAGTAGGTAGCTACAAGCTTACGTGCCTCGTCAAGTGTGCGTGTCGACTTCCTTTATTCCTTGTCCTTTCTATATATCTCTTTTATCATTTAAGCTCAGCACAGCTCCTTGTTATGAGAAATCTTCTTTGAAACTTTCATGAGAGGTATAATTCTGTTCTGTCCAAATTCTATCGTCGTTATGCTGGGCACTGCTAGACTTTCATGAAAAGTGTGTTGTATTACGAGCGAACAGGGCCAGTTTTAATTTAATTTTCAGAGTGATAAAAAGGTTGTGTTGCCTACGGCTACATGATATGATGATTGATTAAATATTCAATAGTTACACATGTTTCTCCATGTATTACACGGTCGTGATTAGAGAATATGGCTGGTTTTGTTATATATTTTATTGAAGGTATTGATTATATTGATATATATATATATATTGATAATTTTTATTAAATAATTGTCACTTGAAACATTATTTTCCCTTGGTAAATAATCACTCAAAGCATCAATCGCTCAGCCTGTTCAGAGAAAACTCGCGTGATCGGAATTTTCAATGCTCTAAATTATTACCCGTATATTGCTTAGGGCGTGTAGGTGGGGTTAAAGTAATAGTAATAAGTAATGAAGTGTACACTAATGATGTCATCTTATACTCATGCTCTCTTATCTCTCTGACGTGCATGTTTCTGCGTGCTTTTTACATTAGCCATCTAACTTTTCACAGAACGTACGTATACTCTGTCCCATTTTCCCACTATAATTTTTTTGGTGTTGATTTTAATTAATTAGCTAATAGATGTCAAGGAAATTAAATGCACATGCATGGGAAAAAACTAATTCTCAATATTTTTGTAGTCCAAACTAAATGCGATATTTTAAACGTGTGTTGGTAATAGTTGCCACGGAGTAATAGTTTTCTGCTGAGAGGAAGGGGACAAAAATTTCAGCTACGTACGTATCATTAGATGGGGCAGTTAGCCGGGCCAGAAGAAGAAGTATGACGGGGAAAATGATCTGCAAAATTCTTTTTTTTGGGACACGGCAAGAAGTTGTGTAACTGGGAAGAAAATGAACCGTCACTAACACTTTTTCCTGAGCAATGTCATATCTGGTGCAATACTAATGGGAAAGACGGCTTTATTGAGAAAAGGTAATTAGAGGGGAAGGAAAGGACAAAAGGGTACATTGACAATTTTGTGGTGTGGAAGAAGTGTGGGGACCAGAAGAATATGTTGGGTGGATGCCGAGTGATTGGCGGTAATAAAGGCCCCTGTCTCAAAGCTCGTGGATGGCTGGTCGTTCTTCCTCCATCGCTGCACCTAGTCATTCCCTCTTTGGTCTATTCACATTAATTAATTGATTATTATATTTCCTCCGCACTATATTAAGCCTTAATCTATATTTATGACATCATGACCTATGCTGATTAATTTACTTGACCAAACTTCTTGTCGTAGGCTCGTGGCATCAATCTTCCGATGATTACATACTCCCTCTGGTGTTATTAATTTATGGGGTGGGGAGAAGATTTTTTTTTATTTATAAATCATTTTATTAAATTTTCAATATAAATTTCTCCTTTTATTTTACATTAAGTGTTGAAAAAAATATTTTTAAAGTATATACATTTAATTAAAATAAATTTGAAAACTTGTTAAATTTGAAGATAAGGTTGATGGATTTTAAATTTTTTTTATTCCTATGAAACACGTTTAAATCAAGTTTTTTCAGATACTCAAGGCTCGAAGATTACTTAAGAACTTCTCTTTTTACCATAGTTTTTAAATATCTCTCAGTTTCAAATGATAAGGATTAAAGGGAGGAATCACACCAAAAAAAAAAAAAAGTAATTTAAGCATGTAGCATTGGAAAAGGCAGAGTATACGAAGAATCCAAGGGTCCACCTCTGCCACGAACTGTCCTACCCCAACCCCACAAAACCCCTCTCTCAACAACAACAAAAAATGGAGAGAAGAGAGATGGGGCGGTGCCCGGGGTGGAAGGGAAAGTCACGTGACGAGGATGTGGTCGTGACAGGTGGAGTGTCCATGTTAGGCCCCTAAGATAATGGCTCTCCCCCAACGGATTATTGTTGATTAATTTATTTGCATTTAATTTATAATATGTATAAAATTAAACATGATAAATTTAGAATTCTTTGATGCAAAATGATATACGTGGATATGCGTTTTTATAATTATTTTATTTTAAAAAATGACTTTTTTTTTTAATGTTGCTGTTAAGAGATCAGATATATGGTCAATGATTGGGAGCAAGATGCGGAGCTGAGTCGTGCTTACTCGCCACGTGTGCCTTCCAGAATCCACAGTGGACCGTTTAGATCTTTCTGTCTCTTGATGGATGCCGGTGACAAGCACTGCACATCATCTGACACGTGCTTACCATCTGGCCCTTCTTCCTCCATCTTGCTTCCACGTGTTTATACCGTCTCATAATTAGATCCCCAGCCCTCAGGGGCGCTGCCCCCACTTTTAGCTGGGATTGACTTCTCTTCACCTTGTCCTTTTCACTTTTCATCTCAGCTGTTAAATTTACTTTTAAATGATTAAAATTAATATTTTATTAAATTAATTAATTAATTATTTTCACATTTTAATATTTTATAAAATTTTATATTTTAATAATAATTTTATGCAACATTGAAACTTAATCATTTAAAAATAAATTTAATAATTAAAATAAAAACTGAAGAAAAAATAGAAAGAGAAAAAATAAAGAGGAATCAGCTTACTTTGACCTGGCTCTTAAAGTTTTAATGGAGATAATGAAATTTTTTATTTTTTAAATTTGTCAAGATTATTTATTTCCACCTCAAATTTTAAATCATATAATAAAATCTTTAAATTTTTATAACTTTGCTTAGTTCTCATGATTTAAAAGAAAAATAATAACAGTGTTATAATTGTACAGTGAAAATCACCCTATCAAAACATAGTCATCACCTCTTATTATTGGTTGGCCTTTTCATCATCATGTTCATCATTCTTTTGGCAAGTTTTTCGTTGTTGATTCATGGGAGAAATTCAGGTAAAGACCATTGTGGAGAATCAATTTTAAGCAGGTTCAAAAAAATTTTAAAATTTCAGTTTAGTTAAGGAAAGAAAAGTTAAAAAAATTTTGACAGTAAAAATATCAAAATATCCTTCACTTATTATGTAAAATTACTAGTTATTAATTTTTTACTGTACTTGTTAATTTATTAATATGAGTTGTAAATTATATGAATTGATATGTCAATAATTATATAAAATTTGACATCAATTTTTTAATCATAAGCAATAGTATCAGTTGTTAAATTGTTAATTTTACTTGTTAATTTATTAACATTAGTTGTAAATTACTATTAGGTCTTGTAATTTATAACTTATGTTAATAAATTAACAAGTAAAATAAATAAATTAAATACTAATATTACTGATTGTTTGACAAACGGATGTAATTTTTAAGTGATATTGATAAATTAACAAGTGCAGTAAGAAAATTAAAAACTAATAATCTTGCATAACAAGTGAAGAATATTTTGATATTTTTATTGTTGAAATTCTTTGGATTTTTTTTCTTGAATTGGATTAGAATTTTAAAATTTTTTTAGATCCACCTGAAATTAATTCTCTACGATGATCCTTAATTGAAATACTCCCTTGATTCATCATGTATATCACAGTTCCTTCATCTCAGAAGCTGAGATAAACTTGAAAAAACAAAAAGATATATAAAACAATCTTGAAGGATTTAATTGATAAATATTAAATTTTAAAAATAAAACTGATAATTGAAATAAATTTAAAGGAATAAAATTTTTATCATCATCTCATTCTAGAGTATAATAGCAGCAGGGCCGTGTGAAGATATTTTAAGGCCTTTGGCAAACATGTGTAATTATCCTTTAAAAAAAATCCACTGATCATTTTTCACAAAATTATATATTAAAATTTTATAGTATAGTAATTCTAATAAAATACTAAATTAATTTAATAGTTAAATAAAAATTAGTATTGACAAAATACTCCTACCCTATCTTATATATTGAGATAGAATATTAATACTAATATGGGATAGCAATACATTTTAACAAAAAAGATATAATTAAGACTAATAATATTAACACTTAGTGTGAAAAACTAATAACAATTATACAAATTATAAATAAGATTTTAGTAAGGCTTAAAAGTGTCGTATTGATAGTTTAAAATTATACAAAATCTTGATATTAATATTTGTCAATGTTTTAGGCTTTGGAATGAGAAAAGGAGAAAACAAAAAGTGAGACTGTGATAGGAATTTAAAGCAAGCTAATGTAACACAAATTAATGTATTATGAATCTCATTATTCTTTTGTTATGCAGATAATGAATTTAACTCAATAATTAATGTTATACTGGGAATGGTTGGAACTTTTCAATTGAAAAAACAATCAACACTTTTTATTCTTTTTCACTTACAATTAAATATATAATAATATGAATATCAATTACACATATATAATAGAGGTATTAATATATTTTTTTGGAGGCCTAAGGCAATTGTCTCACTTACCTTGTGGCTTCCATGGCCCTGAACAGTGGTGTGAGAAGTTACTCTAATGCGCGTAAATAGAGAAAGATTGTAAGTTTCATATTCAATGTGATGAATGATTGGGTTAAGTTTCCTAGCGAGGATATCTTGATCCTCATATCCCTATCTTTATGAGGACGAAACTCCTCCCCGTAAGAGAAATTTGATCTGTGGTGAATGTGCATGTTTACTCTTCTTGATTAAGAAATGGTTATTAGCCTTACCTATGAAAAAATTAGTAATTAAGTAAGGGCATGTGGCTGTTTGCGAATTTGATCCATTTAAAAAAAAAAAATCTGCAACAATTTTAATTTTGTCATTAATTAGAGATAAGGAAGTTTTAAGCGAATTTCAAAACTTCTTACTCCATGATTTAAGTTTATTGAATGGATGAATGATGATTAAAAAAAAAAAACGCGATGAAATATCGCACATGGGAAAGCAAAAAGCACGATGATTGTAAAAGACCGTCAAGGCTAGTAAATAATATACCAGGCGCGTGTTATTATGAAATAAATTTTCTCATTCATATAGTGCTTGTTCAATTTTGGCCACTTCAATGGTGGCATTTAAAACTTTCCTGAATTAATCACAAATTCAAAGAAAAGCATTGAAAGTAAATGCTCCCCTCGACTAGGCAGTGTAAAAATCATCCAATCCTATTTAATTTAAATAAACTTGGCCAGTCTGATCTGATTTTGTAAAAAAATTGATATAAAAAACTAAAAAGATCAATGAGATTAGACTTTATCTTTTAGCTAAATTGAATATGAGATCAAAATTTTATACCACTTAGCTTGATTTGGTCTTATAAAATTATTTTAATATAATTATAATTATTAGTTGAAGTTTGTTGTTAGCTTCTTGTTGCAAGGAAAGATAGCAATCAAGGATTATTGATTAAAATTAATATTAGTTAAGAATCAATTGTTGTCAAAACTCTAATAAAAAACAAGCTTGAATAATCTATTATTAATTTAAAATAAATTATTGCTAAAACTCGAATGAATACTTATTGATAAAAAATTAACCTGAAATAACAAATATCTATTCGGGTTTTGACAATAGATAACCTTTGATTAATATAAATTTCGATCAATAATCCTTGATTACTATTTTCCCTTGTTGTAATATAGTTTAGATATGTTGAACTTTGTTGAATTTTGTTATGAATTTGAATCCTTTAAGTTGTAATTGAAATGTTCTTTGTTTTTATTGGAGATTGTTATAAATTTATTATGGTTAGCTTTTAATGTTTTGTGATAACTTTTATATGATTATAAATATCTTTGTTATCATAATTAAGTTGATCAAATTGGAATGAATTATTGTCTCTTATAAGGAAAAAGGGGAAAAAAAAGCAAAGTGAGGTACTAGAATTATCAAGATGAGTCTTCCAATTTTATGAACTAATTTGGGTCCTATTTAACTTCAAGTTAAGCCTATACTAAATTAGATTATGTTATATTTTTTTCATTTATTAGTAAATGTGCTTGTTTTCTTTATTTTTTTATTCATTATCTTTAATGTAATTAATGAGGGTAGTTTAAACATTCTACTCAATGGCATAAGAGGGAAAATGTGAACATTTTTTAGAAAATCAAGTTGTAAATCAACTTTTTTTAAGACATATAAGTTAGTTAATTAATTATTTATAGTGTGGTCCGGAGAAATATGCTTACTTATTTAAATTATTGACTCAGTCTAACGGATATGAAAGAGAGAGGGAGAAGGTAAATGTGAAGGAGGGTGCTGAGTTTAGGGGTCACTATTCGTGTGCTAAGAACTATATCTATATACAAGAAATTATACCTAATTTGAAAAACAAGTTATATTATTTGTAATTGCTGAATGATGACATTGAATCAATTAATGAATAAATTATGTCCAAGCTTCATTATAGAACAAAACTGATCTTGAATGATTAAATATCAAACTTTTCCCTCGATAAACTCATACGATATGCTAGCATAATACAGATATCATCAATATAAAATATAGAGTCCATTTCATGCTATACTTACTATTTTTTTATGAAATCATGTTATACCATATTATTACTACATAAATAATATGGCCAATATTACGAAAATACATAATTGACAATTATTGAATAAGCAAATTGCTACACTACAGAACATGATGCCTTGCGCCCCCATTCGGCGTTTTCATTCACTGTTCACTACAATGATCCTTTTAAAACAGTTTAAATTTAAAGTTTTTAATTTGTATTGTATTTTTTTCACATGTTGGGAAAGTTTGATCAAAACAAAAAATGAAAGAAACATAAAATAAAATAAAATAAATTTTTTTTGGAATGGAAATTAAATTAAATTTAAACCGTTCACATCATATATCACACACACACACACACACACACAAAAAGATGAGAACCCAATGCTTGTAAGGTGAGTATTCTCCCCTCTCCTCTTTCCACCCTCTTTCATTCTTTTTATTTTTTCACTATTAAATCAAAATTAGATACTTCAAATTTGATCTACTAATTAGCATGAGATGCGGCTAGAGATTTTTTACATAAGTACATACATAAAGTGCCCTGATCTAACTTAGCCTCTTCCTGTCAGATTCCAGCAACTACGATTGAGTTCTGTTTGGACAACTATAAATAATATCATAACATGGAAATGCAAAGGCGAGTAATTGACCCATACGCACCAAGCTACGTGCCGGTGTCAACGATGGGCATACTTATTTAATTTTCCTGCATTTATTCGATTGTAGGATTTTTTAAATGAGACATCATCATATTTTAAAAGGAAATTTGGAATAGCAAGTAGCAACACACACACAAATGATATTAATAATAATAGAATGAATCAGTTCACTAGCTAAGATAAAGAAAATCCACCATTGACCAACAAATTAAGCCAAAACCAAACCAAAAAAGAAAGAGACAAGAAGTACATATTGTTTTTCGTCCACCAAAGCAGGACACATTTAGAAGTATAGACAGTTAATGCAACCCAGTTGGGCTTGGATAAGAAGTGGACGCCTGAGCCAGAAGTGACAAAATGAAGGTCCAGATCCGAGCAATAAATCTCAAATATTGACAGATCTAAGTAAAATGTCAAAAAAATACAGATTTCCAAAAACTACTAATAATCTCATCCTCAAAACGTCAGGGTCAGTTTTTCTGTGATCACAAAATTCTGGCACTTCATTTCAACACTACATGCACCTTATCAGACTAGTTGGACCGCATTATCAGCAAAAATGGAGATTTACAAAAAACAAAAAAGAAAGAAAGAAACAAAACAAAACAGAAGGTACAGTCAGGGAAGTGTATACCCTGGAAGTGGCAGTGCAGATAAACACATGAGAAGATACAACATGATACAGTGCACTCATACACACTGTTGGAGTTGCACGATGGCTAGGCAATGGCACCAAAGAGTAACACTGACCGAGGGAAGCACTTCGCTCCTTTTCTCTTTAGAGCATGTTCGGAGTGAGAAAAGTGCAAAAATTAGGAGGTTTTTAAAGAAAGGTTTTATTTACATTTAAATCAAGTGAAATGCGTAAATCCAAACTTTTCCTTTTTCCTTATCCTCCATTCTTTTCAATCCAAACAAACTCAAAAGCTTGAACTAAAATCCTATCCTCCGTTCTTATATGAAGAGCATCCGCTTACATGTGCAAGATAAGATGCCAGCCCAAAGCTGCGCAACAGATCCCTTATTTGCCAAGAGTTCACCGATGCTTAATTGAAAGCACCCCCAATTTTGCTCATAGTATTTTATAGTCCCTTTTTGCCAATACCAGCGTCTTCCATCATGGCAACAAACTCGCTGTAATCAATTCGCCCATCCAGAAATAAGCATAACATACAGGTTACAGCGTTACCCAAAAAAAAAAAAAAGGGCGAAAATGAAATGGCATCCATAATTTTTTTTTTTTCAGTTTTTGGGAGAAAGGAAGGGAAAACAAGATGGAAAAAATAAGTTCCTCTTTTATAAAGCACAGTCTCAATTTCCCTCACACAGCATATGAACATTTTTTATCATTCAATAAGACATCACTTTTTCAGAGAAATGGCATGCATAAAGTCTGCGTGCATCGTGTGAGAGAGACATAAAATTGCAAAGCCAGAGATCTACAACAAATATATATGGAGGATCCTCTATTTATGTAGCACACTGATATTGAGGTCCATGAGAAAAGATGTGAACTAGTAAAACATAATAAATTACATTATCCCGGTCAACTTCTTTTATCATGTCATCTAGTTGAACATCTAGCAGACCAAACTGTTCGCAGGCGTGTTCAAGTTCATCTCGTGCAATGTACCCACTCCCATCTTTGTCAAAGTAGTTGAAAGCTGAAAATAGATGTTCCTCCCTGTGAACCTTGTTTGCATTAAGCATGGCTGCTAAGAATTCACCATAGTCGATGGTACCACTGTTATCAATGTCTGCCTGAATTTTAAACAACAAAAGCCACAAGGTTAAACAGATGGAACACAAGACCAATCCTTTCAGTTGAACACAATAATGCATTATTTCATCCCACTGCAACTCAATGGTCCATAGGTGGTGTCAGGCAGGGTTCACGTCACAATAATACCAAGACTCAAGGTAGAGAGACAACACTCCACTCACAAAAATAATTCCACAGAATGATGGCCAAATTAGAACAGGAAGGGGAAGAATATGTTCTCCTTTCACATACTTCCTAGCACATGCCAGGAAAGAAGAAGAAAACAGCATCCTCCTTTTGCAGTGTATAACACGCTTACCGCTTGCAACAAGCTGGCAATTTCAGGTTCCTTGAGATTGGCACCCGCTCTCTCCAATCCATTTTTCAGTTCCTCTAGAGTAATGTGTCCGCTATTGTCTGCATCTATCATCTTGAACATTTCTTTCAGCCCTCCAATTTCCTCCTCAGACAGACTTTCAACAATTACCTTCCAAAGGAAAATACAGGGAGTCAAACCAGACAACCCAAGTGACAACATTAAATAGTAGTTCGGAACAAACTCTAACCCTGTTTACATGCAAATACAATATTACTCAAGCAAATAATTTCTTACATAATTTTTTCCATTTATAAACAGCTAAAACACTATCAGCCATAAAAAAGACCATGAAGCATAGGCATATGCATCACAAGGAAATAGGAAACAAACTCAAAACTAAATACTAGTTTTGCACCAGACCTGAACTTATATGCCCATTACAGATCTGAATATCAATGACAATTGGTAAAAACAGCATTAGTCTCACACCTCAGTCCAAGGTTGCAAAATTTTAATCCTTAGCTTGGAAATAAAATGAAGAGAGAAAGGGCTAAGGGCAATGAGAATGAGAAGGAAATGATTCTATCATTTGTTTGGATGTGATATAAATGAGGAGATAGGAATTAAGAAAATTTTAAATTACAAATGCATCCACTACTAATTTTTGTTGAGAAGGAATTTTAAGGGCACTTGTATAATTTAGAATACTTTCACCTAAAGTTATGATGCTATTCACTTTCTGTTCATCTATGTAGAGATATTTTGCCGCCATTTAGGTTATCACTTCCATTTCTATGATATTCCCCTTTGTTTTCCAAAGTACACCAAGAGACTTTTACTTTGAATCTCAATCCTCTCACGATCATCCCTAAACTCCCAATGCTTACAAAATGTAAATATCATAAACAATAAAAATCATGTTTGTGTTTGATTTTTAGAGAGAGATTTTCAGTAGATTCTGGGGTAAAAAAAGTCAAGAACAAACTGCCAGTGTCTTAATCCAAGAGTTACACTCGTAATTTGTGACACAGAAATCTTTCTTTGCACTCACACACAGAACAACATCACATAAGAAACATGTTAAATAACTTCCAAGTTGGACTTTCAATCTCAAGTTGATGATGGGTACTCACTCGAATGACCATCTTCTTAAGCTTGTTCATAGCAGAAAATTTTTTCAAACGAGATAAAACAGCAGAATCAAGAGGTTTGTCAGAAGCAACACTGTCAACTTGAACCCAAGGGTGGCCTGCACATCAAGAGCTCATTCTAATGGACTCGGGTATTTAAAGATAATTTTACTAGGCCTCAATGTATGGTATTCATTAAGAACAATCATATGAGTAGATCAATTGACCTAACTAGGATGAAAGCTTAGATTTAACATCAGGTTTGTTACAGATATAACCGGGAAAAAAAAAAAAACCGCAGGGTTCAATAATTATGCTTTCCTCTATATGCTTAATTGAACTGGCTAAATGCCAATATACTTCACATTCTTTGTAGCTGGGAATTGTATGAAATGCCAAATTTAATAAGAAATATGCTTTTGATCTCAACCAACCAGCTGGAACAAACCGTCAGAATCTGTTTTACCAAAAAAAAATTAGAATATGTTGCAGACAGCATCAACTCACTTTTTAGAGACTGTGATAAGTAGTTAACTAACAAGATAAACTTTCATATAAGGCTGTTAAATCTAAACTTAGGGAGAGTGTAAATTGTGAACTTTTCAAGGTTGCAACTTGGACAAATCATGTAAAAGAGCAACATGCATACGTACAAAGAACTTCATGTGCTGTCATCCTATTTTTAGGGTCCTTTATTAGCATTCTACGGATCCTTTGCACTTTCAGATATGCTAGGCCATGGTTCAGAGATAAAGTCAGGTTCTCCTCTCAAAATTTGCTCAAAAATTCCTTCCTCAGTCTCTGGTCCATCACAAAAGATTTTACAAATTTTTATGTGATTCATATACACCTCAAACACAAATAGATATTACAAAGAAATTAACACAACAAGGTCAGATGGTATATCTTTCTCACCATCCCAAAATGGCGGAACTCCACATAGTAATATATAAATGATCACCCCAGCACTCCAAACATCACATTCTTGACTATAGTGCTTCAGCACAACTTCAGGGGCCACATAATATGGGCTGCCAACTACATCGGTGAATGATTGACCTGAAAGGATAAATATTTTCCTAATTTGAATTGAAAAGTTCTTAATAAGCACAAGAAATTGCAAGAGCTGAAGTGTCAACAAGCTTAAAGACAATGGTACACAGTCTATCATGCAGCACCCAAGTAATCTGCTATGGACCTCAGGTCACATTGCATAGTCGTTCTAAACAATAGCTCTTAAGATCCAAGGATAATATGATTGAAAGTTTATTAATTACAATTGTTGTTTGCAACTTGAGTAAACGAACCCTGCATTGTGCTCACAAGTTTGATATCTAACCCATGTAAACAGGTTATCACTCTTTCTATCTGTAGAATTTACAAAAAATACTCCTACTAAAACAAATAGGTTCCTTTTGGGTCCTTTTGGGTACGTTGATTGAATTTGTTGAGCAAGACACTCAAGTAACAGAAGGCAGTTGTTTTTGACTGCTGATTGTCCTATTGTATCTACAAAATTTGCGGGGGGAAAATCTTCTCCCCATTCAACTAAAAATAAATTAGACATGAAAACAATTAACAATAGCTGCTTGGAGATTTTGAATAAAACAAAAATTAATTTGCAATTTTCCACAGAGAATTACTTGATTGGAAACATGGATTTTAAAATGGAACATTGGGGAGGTAGTCAAGAAAACAAATGGGAAAAGAAGCCATCTAACTTTGTTTCCCTTTTCTTTTTGAACTACGCATTGTAACATAAAGACTTTACTTAATTTGACCAGCATTTAAAGAATTAGAGGAGAACTTGGAATGTCTGACAACAAATGGCCCTGAAAGATTCTTGTTCATTGTTATTCAAAGAACTAAGACTAGATCAACACACAGAAAATTTAGCTTCATAAAACAGCTAAGCATTTCCTATTGAACAGTGACATAGGCTGAGTCTAGAAGCATGGATCACCAAAGTCAACGGATATGGTAAACAGATGAAAGGACTCGGATCAATGCTACTCACGGCTGTAATAATCATCTCAAATATACAAGAAGCTATACTGTTTACAGACCAGCCACCTCAGAGTCTAGTTATGACTATACCAGGTTGGAAGAACACAGAAAGCCCAAAATCTATTGTCTTGAGAAATGAATCTTCTTCCTGGCCGGAGAACAGAAAATTCTCTGGCTTCAAGTCCCGATGCATGACACCCAAAGAATGGCAGGCCTCCACAACACGGAGTAAACGGAGTATTACCCTTGCGAGCTCAGCAGCCTTCCTCTCAGTGTAGTGTCCTCTCTGTATGATCCTGTCAAAAAGCTCCCCACCAGAACAAAATTCCATAACAAGATTTACGGCAACGGCGTCCTCGTATACACCGACTATTTGTATCACATTGGGGTGACCAACCAAATGGCGCATTATCTGAATCTCCCTTCTAACATCTTCCACGTCCTCAAGAGTTGTCAATTTTCTCTTGGCGATCGTTTTACAAGCGAACTCTTTTCCAGTTGTCTTCTCTGTACAAAAGAATGTCGTCCCAAATTGCCCTTGTCCTAGCTTCCTCCCCAGATACACATCCTTCAAGTTTTGAGTTTTTCTTCCTAACACCGATTCAATTTGACGTCCAGCACTGGACGCTCTTTTAACGTGAATGAATTTGTCAGCTTTCGCTGCATCAGCGGGAGGCTTTTCAGGCTCCCATGGTTTGGATTCGACATCGGCAATCTCCATCGTTTCAGGTCGTCTACTCTGACCCGCACCTGAAGGGTCAGGACCCTCAGGAGCAGTGGAAACTTTGGAGGAATCAGGAGCTGCATTTGCCGGAGTTCTATCCGTGGAGGTGACATCCGGCCGAGGAAGCCTGCCGGCCGGAGGGCGGTCTCGCCAGACAGCGGCCGAAACAGATTGCAAGACACAGTTATTGCCCATCAAAATTTATGTTTTTAGCGCGTTCGCCACTGGCCCTTTAACATCAAATTGGGAGACAGTAAATATCATTTGAATCCGCTTCACAGAAGGGAGCCGCATCGATTCTAGGGATTTGGAATTGTCCCATGACCCAATAGGCCGGATTTTGTTTCCTATGAATGGTAAAATCAATTGATTGTTTAAAGAAAAAATAATTAATACTCCTATGTCACTCGTTCTTGGGATCTTTTCATATTTTTATGATCAATCGATATAAGACATTGTATCAGAGTCAGGGGTTAAATGTCCCTTCGGAACATCCGATAAAATTCGGGAGTTTGAAGAAAGAAAGAAAAAGAAACGAATCCATAGAAAGCGTTTGGATTTTATGCCCTTGATGAAAGATCATGTAACATCTTTCTTCGGCCTCACTCGTGCTCTCTTGACAAACAATATCCATGCACACATGCACATCCTACGGGTTGAGTTTCGGTACAAACCCCAATTGCGATGCCACGTAAAATTTTTTTCCGATCACCATACTTGAACAAAAATTAATATTATTCGTTCAAACGGATTTCTAGGTTTTTCCTTTTTGGTATTCTTTTTGAAACCGACTTCCATGTGAACAATACATCGCACATCCCCTTACAATTTCAACAATTCGCTGTCAGCACCTTGCCAGCTGAAGTTTAAATTTTCTGTAATTTTATGACGCCATTATTTAAAAGTTTACAACAATTCGTTCAAAATTCATAATAGCTGATGAAAATGTTTGAAAGTTATATATATATATATATTTATATATTTGCATTATATATTTTAAAGTACTTGTTGGTTCAATGATTTCCTACAATTTGAAAAACAAAGGATTGGCTTCTTATTGTCTTAAGTAGATTAATTTATAAGATTAATTATTATAAATAAATATATTTTCTCATATACATTATAAACAAAAAAGCCTATATATAGATCATTATAAAGTGGTTGTCAAAAATCAATCCAGCAATTGAAATGTCACAATTTAATTAAAATCTTGATATGATTTAATGTTAACAAAGGAGAGATAATAACAAATGAGTTTAATTAGTTACAATAACGGACTGAAAAGCATTTAGGGATAAAATTGTATTTTAATTCATAAAAAGTGAGTCTGAATACAAACGTTAACAACAAATAAATTCATTTTGAGGTCCCTCCCCCCAAAGTAAAATTCTCCTCATAAAAACTACTCTCCCAAATTATAACAAAATTTTTAAAGTATTTTGTTATTTCAAAATATGAGATAATTTAATAAAAATAAAATTTTATTAATAATAATTTTATAATACCATCTTTTAAGTAAAGAGAGAATTGCAATGATTTTTATATAACAATTAAATGTGTAAATTTAAATTTATATTAAATAAAAGGAATTTTTAAAAACTTATATTTTTGTTTTAAAAAATAAGTTTATAAAATGTTTTTATTAAATTTTATTAATATATATAATATTATTTTAAATTTTCTTATAATTAGACTAGCAACAATTTCTCTTATAGAATTTTGTACAATAGAAAAATCATGCTTTGATTTAGCAAAAAATATTATAAAAACTTTTAACGTTCCCAACGGCGTCAGAAACAGGCGGGAAATAAAATTCCGTTTCAAATGTAAGGTTATAATAAATGCAACAAACTTCATCGCCAAGTTCCCACCTGGGCTTAGCTTCACGCTTAACTCCTTACCTCATCCCCTTCTCCATCCGCTCTAACTCGTACTTCAGGCGCCATTGTGCTCGGGAAATTTCTTATTCTAAGAGGTTAGACCACACATATCAAATTCCTATCATTGGAATTGCCCTTTCTTTTCGCTTATTATAATGTTGACAGTGTGAATGGCCGTAAACCGAATTTCCTTCCCTCATTTCGTATACGCTAGAGTTTATGTTGCTTGTTCTCTGATTATGGAAATTATGTTCGGTGTCAAATCAGATGCAGCTCACTCGCTAAATCTGAATGTATCTTGATCAGTAATGAAGTTGCGGTTGCGGATCTCGACCGTCGCATGGCAAATGTCGCACCAACTTCTTTATCTCCCCTCTTTCATCGGGCTGACGCTGGCACAATGGTAAAAAGAGAGTCACCGTCAGAATTGAGAGTAAGTTTCATCAAGCTTTCATATCTTGGTTCTGATGGAAACGCGAATTTTTAAAATTAAGGATAGAATTGAAGAGACTAATATCGAGTTGTATGTATTTCATATGTTTTGCTTGGAGCTGACTATGTGTCATTCTATATTGAAATTATCCGGTGCAAGATTAAGGCTTGCTTGATCTCCTATCGATTAGCTTGTTGCATCCTGTTAAGCATTTTTGAAAGATCATGATGATTTTGAGTCAGCTGCATTGGAGTAAAATTTCATATAAGTTTCCTATTCTTTATGGGCAATGTTAACTGTCTCTGAACTCTGGTGCAGGGACAATTCTCATGTCTATATCATCTGTACCTTGACAGGGAGAGCAGTTGAAGAAGGAATATGCTGTAGACCTTGAGTGGTCCTACAAAGTAAGTTTCTGCTTCTCTTTCAAGTAGTTGTTTCACTAGACTAGATTTTAATGACTTGATTTGTTTATTTTTGCAACCTAGTGAGATGGATAACGGGATCAAAAGACGAGGATTATTAAGAAACCCAAGATACACTGACACACGTGTTGGTGAATTATTTCCTGCAAAGATATCCAGGTTTAAATTGTCCTCTGGAAAAGAAAATGCAAAGGTTATTATATTCTTTGAATTCATCATGAGACTTATCTTTAATTTGTCAGTTGACGTCTTGTTTAGATTATCACTGCTTCTAAATGGGTTGAGATTACCGTGTTACTTTATTCAGAAAATTCCACCTTCGAAGCAGGCCAGTAACCTGGAGAATCTTTCTTTCTTTCTTTTTCCTGATTCAACTGCCAAGAGACAGCAAGGAATTCCATGGTTTGTGGTGTTTATGCAATTTCTTTGCCTCAGTATATAAATTTTTCCCTGGTTTGATCCTATTCCTAATTAGCGTCAGGCTGTCAGCTTGAAAATTCTGTTGCTGAAATTCGCAACAACGGTATCTTGCAAGCCCGTCAAACAATTCAAAAGTGCAGCCAAGTTTTTCAGTGTTACTGAGCCTTCATCAGCTGCTGGTCAATCGTCTGCCTTGGCAGCTATTGACTCGGTACACACTAGCAAACCCTTTTTTCTTGGTATTTGCCCCATTACTTCTATTTTCCTTTTCCTGTTGTACTTAGATTCACTTATTTTATAGGGTAAAACATTGAAAGGACGAGCTGCCTTTGAACCTCAAGTTAGTAAAGTTAAAATACTCTAAAAAATAGCTAGCAAACAACATGAACAGTTAGTTATATATTAGCTAAACGTTCTTCGGACTCCGCTTACTGCCATGGATGTGAAGTTGATGTGGAGGACAGCATATAGGAGTTAAGAGACAATGATTGAAGCGTTTGAACATGGAACAAGCTTGCAAAGCCAAAGCTCAAAAGCGGCTGCAGTGTTCTATACCTGCCAAAATGGATACTAGTTAGTATTTAACCTTCCCCAAAACAGAGGAAGGAGAGATGGCGAAGGCTGAAACTTAACCTTCAAGGGTACTAGTTGAAAGTCTTGGGGAGAGGAAATGAACAAGTATTTGATGAAAACACCCACAACCCAAATAATCCAGCGAGCTTTATTCATAGATGTGTCAGCGAGCTCTTCAACACAGTTGACAAGTGCATAAATCATGAAATGTTAAGCCTCTCCCGAATATATATTATTCAAATCCAAGCGTGAGCATTTGGCGAATGAAAAAACGTTACAAAGCTCATCACCAATAATCCATGCAAGAACACAAGCCTTCTTTAAAATGGTGGAAACGGTTTCGATCTCTGACAATTAAGTCTACTTTGAAAACCTTTGAGATAAACTTTGTGGCCGTGTGGCAATCTTCACAGACTCGCAAGTTTTTCACTATGCGTATTGGAATGCAAGCTTTTGCCTTCAGAATTCCAAATGCAATGGCCAATTTTTCACTGTGCCTGTGAAGTGCATCTTCCTTTTCCTCTTCATCTATGTCAAACAATGCATCACCTGTACTTCCAACGTACCCTGCTAATCTGATTTTCTGGAGTATATCTTCCCACATTCTTTCTATCTGCTCTATTTCTGGGTGTGATTTATCTCCAACCATAAATTCATGAATCTTTCCATTCATCTCAATGAGACTACAACCAGGTGGCTTTCTAACTCCTCTGTTCTTCATCATTCGTCTCACGATGCTCGCATTTTCCCACTTGTTAGTGCGTGCATAAATGTTTGAAAGCAGCACGTAATATCCGCTGTGTTCTGGCTGCAGCTGTATCAAAAGCTTTCCCACCCTTTCTCCAAGTTCTACATTTTTGTGAATCCGGCAAGCTCCGAGCAATGCCCCCCACACTGCAGCATTTGGCTTCACTGGCATTTCGAGAACAAATTTCTCCGCCTCCTCCAGTTTCCCCGCTCGGCCAAGAAGGTCAACCATGCATCCATAGTGTTCCAACCTCGGTTCTATACTGTAAACCCTCTTCATACTTTCAAATATTTCCAAACCTCTTTCAACCAATCCTCCATGGCTGCAAGCTGCTAATACTGCTGTAAATGTGATATCTCTTGGCTTAAACCCTGCTTTCACCATTTCAGAAAAACAGTGAAGGGCTTTCTGCCCATAACCTTGCATGGCTAGTCCAGCAATCAAAGCTGTCCAACAAATTGTGTCCTTTTCTGAGAGCTGCTCAAAAACCTGAATAGCTTTCTCGATATTCCCACATTTTCCATACATTTCAACAATAGCTGTTCCAAGGATCAGATTCATAGTCAAGTTGTTTCTTATCACATACTCATGGGCTTTCGCCCCCGTTTCAAGAGCACCTAAATGGGCACATGAAGATATCACACTCACCATCACCACTTCATTTGCCCTCAGTCCTTCTTCCTGAAGAACTTGAAATAATGCGACTGCTTCATCAAAACAATTGTTCCGAGCATATCCACCGATCATAGTGCTCCACGTCACCAAATTTTTCTCCGGCATTCTATCAAACAGGTCGCGTGCAGATTCTACATCCCCGCATTTATTATAACCTGCGATCATGGAAGTCCAGGAGATTACATCAAATCGATGAGTTCTAAGGAAAATGCAGTTCGCTGCCTTAATGTCCCCAGCTGTTGAATACACATGAACAAGGGAATTCTGCACATAGACATCGTTTTCAAACCCATGCTTAATGATTTGACCATGCGCTTGAGCGGCCATAGCAGCAGACTCCAACTGGGCACATGACTTAACCAAAAATGGGAAAGTTAAATTATCAGGAAGAATGCCTGCGCGAAGCGCTTGTGTGTAGTAATGAAATGAATTTTCTGGATTTTCACTGCTTGAGCAGCCGCGGATCAACGCGTTGTAGACAAAGAGATTAGGATTCTGGATTTGGGAGAAGACCCTAACGGCATAATCCAGCAAGCTTGTTCCAACGGTGGTGTCTATACAGAAGGCAACCAAGCGACTGGCTACGAATACGTCGAAGAAGGCAAGGGTTCTTATCATATGAGCATGGATGATATTGAGATCACGAAGATTGGAGCAATATTCCAGAAGCAGAAGCTTGGGGTTCTTAAGCCTCAGCGTTTGCAGGATCAAACTACTGCCGGTCATTTTCGGAGGTTCATGTTTCGGTGGGCTAAGAATCTACAGAAACAAGGTTGAGCACTTCCACATGTTACTATGTTGTCGTATCAGAATTGAGGGATTCAAAGTCAGAGAGCTTTATGGCGGGCTTCTCCCCTATCTGGTCCCGCCTCAAAGTAGATGAGCCATCCTGCGCCCACAACGGCTTTGCTTAAATCCATGTAGAACACGCAAGTCGACCCCGACTTAGACTCAACACTATAAGAATGACTAATGAGGTGGGGTCGCGTCAAAGGATCTGTAGATTTCATACACGGGAGATTAATGAAATCGGTTTTATGATTTCAATGTACCAGATATTTCGCACATGCTTCGTAGACAGAAGGAAAGACCAAGACATCTGCTCTTTGGTAAATATATTTATATATATATTCATTTATAATTTTGTGTGACTTAAAATTCCAATTTTGTTAGCCATATGATTTAAATTTCGATTTCACCACGCAGCATGTGAAATTTCCTTGTATATATTGTCAAGTGCAATAGCTTATTTTTATATCAATCAAATACATACTTAATAATTATCTCACCATATGAAATCAATTTTCATAAAAATAAATATAATTGCAGTTCATCTTTTAATTTAGAGAAAGTTAACAAGGTATTATTCTTATTATTATTATTATTTTCAGCAGATAGATGAAAGAAGATGCTAACAAGGCATTTTTTTTTTCCAGCAGATAGATGAAAGAAGATGCATTTCGCAAATCTTCTAAAAGAGTTCGTAATTTATTCTAAAAAAATTGTTATGCTTTTTTAATAGCAAGAGGATTTAAACTTTTAATCATTATTTATATCACACCTTCGTCATTCCAAGCGGCTTGTCATGATCCATCTACTATTATGCCACTTAATATATTTCAATTGACGTAGCTACATAAACATCAATGTAATACGTCAAGGCTAAATGGATCAGTAGATTGTTTTCACCACAAAAATAGGGGTAACTGGATCGTTACTGTTACTCCGACGTCGTACCATTTTTAAATTATTTTTTTCTAATACAAAGCTAGGGAGAAACCATGTAAAAGAGAAATAAAAATTAAGTCATGTTAGATTTTATTAGAGATTTGTATTTTGAAGGTGGATAATTAAAAATTATTAGATCTAATTATTTTAGACAGTTTAGTAAGCAAACATGTCAGTGCATTTATTTATTTTTCTAAACATATAATCGGAGATGATGGTTCAATTTTCTATAATAAATTCTGACTTTTTTCAATAGCTTCCGAATTTTTCTGAATATTTTTTAATTACTTTAACTCCTTTTATTTTTACCCTCATTTTCTCCTATTTTCCTTAACTGTCCTGTATTTGTATTTTCAGAGTTATGAGCGTTACTTGACCATTTCAAAATCTCATCCTCAATTATCTAGTTGCAAATATAAATTTGAAGAAAATAACAACAAAATCTTGACAGTTTGATCTTTCAAAATACTATAACTTTATTGAGATCTTTAGAAACTTGTCAATCATAAATAAATTTATATAAATAACAAAATTACCTTTACAATAATATTAAAAATTTGACATGTAAAATTATAATTTCTGTTGTAATATTGTTAATATAAAAAAATTATAATCATTTAAATAAAATTTATAATCATTACTTGTTATTTTTAACACTTGTGACAATATAAAAAATTTAACATGTGAAAAATTATTTTACTGCTGCATTATTACAAATAAAAAAAATTATATTAATTTAAATAAAATTTATAATTATTATTTATTATTTTCAACGCATATAGCAATAATAAAAATTTAACATATAAAATTATAATTTATTATTATGAATACAAGAAAAAAATTATAATTATTTAAATAAAATTTGTGATCATTTTATTTTTAATAAAAATAATTTAATTATTTATATAAATTTATTAATAATATAAAAAATTTTAAAAACTTTAATGAAATCTTGACATTTCAACAAATTCAATTATAATTTATATAATTAGAAAAAATTATTGTCATCTTCCCTACAAGTTTCAATATCAGAATTTGGCTTCTTTTAGGATATAGCAGGTTATTGCTTAAATGGATATTAAAAAGAAAACCATGTTTTGCGTTCAAAATTCAAAAGATTTTACTAACTGCTTCAGAATTAATTTACATTCAGGCCCAAAAAAAAAAACAAAAGAACTAAATTGCCATCACTCATTATGCTCTCCGAAGCCAGTATAACTATTAACTAACCTATTCCTCAACTTCTATTAATTATCTCAAAATAAAAAATTATAGTCCCCCAACTTTTCAGGCCAATTACGTCCATCACACAAATTCACAATTTTCTTCTAAATAAAAAATTTAAATTCTTTCTAAAATCAGAAAACTACCAAATTCATACAACAAATGAAGTATTAAGTATAATTTGATTAATATAAAAATAAAAGTTTTTAAAATTAAGAGAAAATTAAATTTTTAACATTCAACACAACAAATATGAAATTTTTTGGTGTAAAATATGAAATAAATTTTTTAAAATATTATAAGCAATATTTATAAAAAAAAATTAGAGCAATTTTCACTTTAAGAATACTTTAAACACTATCAACTTTATGCTAAGGAAATAGAGAAATAAAATAAATAAATAAATGGTGTTCATGACTCTGTCAACAATGCAACTTTCAATACACTTATATTGGAATATTAAATTGAAATTCTATTCAGGCCAATCACATCGTCGTTAACCCAGTCGTACGTATCTACCTCATTTTAAGCCTAAGTATGGACAACATAACAGCACAACCTGCAAGGCCAGATTAGTTTTAAAATGATCAATCCAATCCATTATTACTCCAATTTAATTCTAATAGAACAATGAAAGAAAAATCCTTATCCCTTTGTTCATCTTTAAATGCAATCGACCTATTGCCCTACCTTTCTCCCTCTTATTATTTTTAAAAATTAGCTAATGAATCGTGTATGCCACTCGTGAATTGTCCTCAAAAGGTTCTAAGATAGACATGATGATCATGCAAATTCAGAGCAGCGTACCTCAAGCAAGCCTGTAATTCTCCAACATCTCCGAGTTGTCAACAATCAACTCAAAGCAAGTGGGGCCAGAGTGCAGCTGCAAATTCGTTTTGTCAAATATGACTTGGTCAACTTCTTGTTCTCCTTGCATGCCTGGTAGCCCAATCCCATTCACCGATTCAATTGGGACAAAAATAGCGGACCATCGGTAAACCACAAATTGTCACTGATACTTGATCAAATATACAATATGAATATTATACAAGCTTACATTATCAATACAGAAAGAGACGACATGGGCAAGAACCCACAATCAAACTAGTGGTAAGTGGTGAGATGGAGAAATGAAGTGGAACTACATAGTCCAATAAAGATGAAACTCGAAACATAGTGATGTACAGGAGAACTGTCAAAAGACGTATGCTACAATCTCAACTCAAACTAACCATATGAGCATGTATGCTCAAACCGCAAGTTTCACCAGTCACCCAACAAATTATATTCAATTTTATGCCAGAGGAATAATAGAAAACTGCATAGAACACCATTTTCTGTGTGTCACAATGATCCAGGCAGCAAGAAAGAGAGAGAGAAATCTCAAAGTGGTAGTAGTGTGATTAAAATTCAATCCGCGACTGGTATTCCCACATCTGAGCTTACCCTCTGTAAGCCAGTAAAGAAATTCAAGAATTAATCTCCCACCTGGGTGATTGAGACGCATCTCCGAGGCCTTCCACGTGGCCTCTTGTCCAAAAGCATTAGCAAGCCCACACCACTGGCTGGTAGCCCAAACATATACCTATTGTCAAAGAAATTTTGGAAGATAGATAATATCTGGTCAACGGATTATTCAAGGATACCGTCTCAACCCAATATTAAAAATATTAACACAAGTGGTTCCCAAAATATATGCTAGCATAAAAAGAAGACACCAACTCAATCAAATTGCCAATGTGCGTGTGCCTTGAAGTAATAGTATCAATATGAAGTCACCAATTCAGAGAGAATCCGAAAAGTTCTAGCATAGAATTATGTTAGCAGCTTCTATACCATTATGAGACTATATCTTCCGATAATTTTCAAAATATCCAAACTTAAGCCAATATGAATCAAGTATCATAAGGTCGAAGGAGGAGACTCTACATTGAATTTGTATGTTTCATAAGCATTAGCTGCGTGAATTCTGCAATTGTTCTCTCTTTAAAATAAATTCTTGTGCTAAAATGGTTGCAATTCATTCCTGATTCAGCACAAATTTCAGTAGCCTACTCAGTCATTAGTGACAAATAGAAATCAATTCATGCAAAGCAAAACTATCTTTTTAAGCTATTACAATGATATCTACTTACTTGCTTTGACCAGCTTTTTTCCTCCACAAAACCAACGATATCATCCACTGAATACAAAAAATGAGATAAAAAAATCATGAGTAACAGCACTGAATTTTGTCCTGATGAAAACAATAACACAACAATCATTAGCTTGATGATGCTCAAGACTTCGGGATTCTTTTATCCTTTATTTTGGGGGCCAGGGGGGAGCACTTGCCATTAAAGAATTAATTGAAATGTTTCATGCACTCACTTGATAAGTTAACCGCACCAATATTGAAAAACAAACTTGAAAAAAAAAAATTTGATTTCACTTGGCAATTGCCTGTAAGAAATTTTCAAAAATTTGGGAAATGGAAGTGGAAACCTCCAGCAAGAAACCTTTAAAACCTCAACTGAAGGGCATACAAATGATTAATAAAGAATAGATGAGTAATGGCACCAAAAAAATCAAATAAATAAAACATGGATAGACATGAGAAAGTCACATCCAAAATATGGTAAAAACACGTGTATCATGCCAGTAGATTTTTTTTTTTACCTTAAAAATTGACAAGAATGAAAAACTGCTAATAACAGACGGCTTCCTCATTGTCATTCTCCTTTGCGGTGACATCTCTTTGCACAAATGTTGAGCTATTTCCTTAAGCAGAAGAACCTGTGCTTTATCAGTGCGCATTGAAATGATAGCCTGCCTCATTGATTCCCTATCAGCCTCAAGAGCTTGAAGTCTCACGTAAAGCTTCTTTATGTCAGGATCTTCAAATTCAGCACGATTTAGTGTCTCCATTGGAGCAGTCGAATAATCTTCATGAACAACTCCACTTTTGGACTCTGAAATACCTTTGTCTGGTGTCACTGTATGAACAGAGTCAATAGTGTAAACTCTGTCACCCATATCATCACCAGCTTCTGATGCATAATCTACCCTTCTCAAATGGGAACGATCATCTGGTTGTGAGACATATTCCATCTTCCTAAAGCTCTTGGGAGAATCCACCGTAAATGAACTTGAGTCATTGGATATCTTTCTTGAATGTCTAATCCGCCTTGGAGACTGTCCAACTACCTCCTTCTCTAGAATTGTTTTCCCTGTCTTATTATCCTCATCCACCTGCTGATGAATAGAATTTCTCTCCATTTGGGAGATTCTATTTTCCAAGTTTCTCAACCTATCAGAAGGAGTTTCAACAAATGCATATTTCTCAATATCTGTCTCATCATTGTCAGCATCCATGGCAGTATGTCCACTGCATTTTAAAGGAGGGTAGTCATAGGAGGGCAATTCATATTGATCACTCAATTCCCCCATGTTCAGGCTCATTTCACCTGCAGCCTCTGATTCTGTGAGACCATAACTCATCATCCTGTGCTTATAAGCCTGAATTTCACATGTGAGCGCCTGTATTGTCAGCTCCCTCTTATACAACAAGTCCTCCAGTGCTAAAAGCTCCTCCTGGTCATGTGATGTCTTCTCCTCTGCAAATCGCTTGAACTGCCGGGCTTCCATTTGAATCTCTGCTTTCTCCCTCTGCAACCTCAATATCATAGACATGGCCTCATTTGCTGCCGTTGATGAAGCATTTCTCTCCTCTTCCAATTCAGCGTGTAGATCTTGTATTGCTTGTAGTTGCCTAGCAACTGTCTCCCGTAAGGCTTCACATTCATTTTCTATTTGGACCCGTGCAACTGAAAATGAATCCAACTCGGGTACAGAGAATTTGTCGTCCCGTTCAAACTCACCAAGCTTCCTTTTGACTGTACGAAGCCAGGTTGCCGAAGAATCAGCTGCCAATGAACAACTGCAGGCGCAGTCGCAACATTTTACTGAATTTGTGGAAGATGGAATTGCTCCCGAATCCATAAACCAAATCACATTCGAACTTCAACGAATTGAAAATCACCAAAGGTCTGACAAATCAATAATCTGAGAATAATATATTTCAAGCGAGCTATAGCATCTTCCCTTCGCGTCAACATCAGGCATTCTCTTACACTCACGCTATCCCAAGATCCTTCGTTGTTGTCCCTCACAGACCAAACAATCTCAGGAAAACCTACAAGAAAGAAGAGATAACGACATGAAACCAGATGATAAAACAGATTAACAACGCGAGCATGGTGGAAACGAGATTATTCCAGAGAACAAGGGTCAGTGCCGGCATTTTCGACTTGGAAATAAGCTCAAACCTTAACGAGAAATGAATTCGAGCAGAGTTAAATATTTCTAAAGCAGAGTATTATGAAAAATAAAAACAAAAACCAGAAATAGAAAGTTTAATTAGAAAAAAATAACCTTAAAGAATTAGCTGTGAGGAATCAAGAGCCGCCGGCTGAGGTCGTACGCAGCAGAAATTGAAGCTCAATTTCCTGGAAATTTCACCCTCAATTAGAGGTCCGAAGCAAAATTAAGAAGAGGCCACAAAACAACTAATCAAGAGAGGGGGAGAGGGAGAAAAAGACCAAAACATTCGTCCCCGCTTTCTTGTGAGAGAAGTATGCACAAGCGGGAACGGTGTTTGGAGGGAGGGAAAATAGAACAGGGAAAAAATAAAAGGGAGAGATGATTTGGAAACCCTAGAATGTGATTTTGTTTGTTTTACGTATAGATGCTGCGGGGTTTGTTTTTGTTTGTATCTATTCGTCAGGGCTAAGATTTCTTGAAAATCGTAGTAGTGCTTCTCTCAAATGTCAATGCTGTCCCCAGAGACCCAGAGAGAGAGAGAGAGGGTGCGTAGCTTGTAAGTCGTCACCTTGTATCATCCGCAATAGTGACCTGCCTGATGGCTCGTACTGCTTTCTTCGATTCCAACTTTGAACCTATTTACCGCGTTAGTTCAGTCGTTTAATCCCTCCTCAACTGCGATTTATATATTTTTACCATATAGTATTTCTTAAATTTTATATTGAGGACCAATATTATTCTATCTTTTTACTATTTATTAAGTAAAGATATGAAATTATGATTATTAAAAATTTTCATTTCTTCCTTTCTTTTCCATCTCTTTTAGTTTTTACTTCTAAATGATGAGTGACAATTCATGACTAATTAAAAAATTAATGTTACATAAGTATTTTCAGTTGTAAAAATACTCCAGTTGTCTAATTAGAGGTAAATTTTGTCATAGTGACGTCAAATGTTGATCTTATCTAGACACATATTATTATTGACCTTTTTTAAAAAAGGAAAGTTAGTTTGAGTAACAGATAATCCATTTTTAATATGTGGGCTGTGAAATAGTAGTGCATTTCGTTCCTTTAGCTTGAACGTAAAACGAGATGGATAATTATTTATTAAAAGAACTATATATATTTCATGTAAAAAAATTAATTACGCTAAAATTCATTAACAATTAATAACCTTAGTTTAATTATTAATAAACTAAATAATTAACCTTTTTTTAGGACTTAAATGTAATTTCCTCTTATTTATTTTACTTCCACTCCCTTCCAACACAGTTTTTGCCTTGATGGCATTAAAAAAAAGATTTCCCTCTGGCTGCCACGTAAAGGGAATGGGTATAAAACTGTTGAAGATCGACAGATAGAAAACACGAGCTGTATAAGCAATACGAGTAAATTGCAATTATTTTTCAACTATAAAATTATGTTCTTGCTTCCTTTTCAACCCACTCATAATTATAACTCATGATTCATGATGGGGTCTTGATTGGTAGATCGTGATTAATAATTAATGTTGCTTTAGCCAAAAAAATTAACTATTTTTAATTTACGCAAAAAAAAAAAAAGGCGAGCACCACAGGTGAGAAAGCTAAATTCGATTGCTCATCGCGGCAGGGGATAAGCATCACAAGTGAAAAAGCTAAATCCACGAGTACCGTCCCATCCACCGTCCGTACTGCTTCGCTAAAATTAGGCTTCGTGATCATCAAACACATCTATCCATTTGATTACAATCAGGAACATGGGTGAAAATATCTGTAAAATTATCAACTATAAATATCTAGTAGCTTAAAATAAAAAATAATAATAAAAATATTCATAACATTATTATAATAAGTGTAATAGTAATCAGTCAATTAAATCTCTCAAATATTAACCATTTAATTGATATTTAAATAAAAATTGATTATTTTTTTATGAACTAAAAAACATTAGGTAAAGAGACAAAAATGTTCACGAAATCATCATCTAAGAACATCTGATAGTTTAAAATAAAAAAAAATAAAAATACCTATAATATTACTATAATAAATGTAACAGTTACTAGCCCTTTAGAAATTTCTCCAAGCAATCTTTGCTGGAAAATGTTTGAAATCTTTGTTGTGAATATTGTTGTAAATGCCTTTTTTGCTTCCTGAATCAATTTCATCATTTTCAAGTTCACAATCTCATATAGCAGGAGTAGCGCCACAATTGGAGCATTACGGGGTGAAGCAGTAGCACAAAAAAGCCAATTAGGGATTTTGAACCTCACCGTGGATAATATTGCTCAAGGCTACGCCAATGTTCTTAGGTAGGTGAGGTAAGAAGTCCGTGCCACGAAGGCATTATGAGCAGAGAAAGCCTCCTTTGTGAAGTGCTTGCGTTCTTTGTAGCAAGTCATGGTCTCTTCATTCTCAATCTTTGATTGCATGCAACCCATTTTACTGTGTTGAATCTCAGGTTTTGCAAAAAAAAAAAAAAGTAAAAAGGGATGGAAGGAAGGGGTAGGATATGTGACAATGGGAAGAAATCACGTGGCATGAATTTTGAGGTTTAGGTAGAAAAGTAACAAATGTTGAGTAATTTTGACGGATTGATTACTATTACACCTACTAAAATAACACTATAGGTACTCCCATCTTTTTTTTTTACTCTAGGCTATTGAGTGCCCCTGATTGATGATTTTGTGAGTATTTTTGTCTCGTTGTTCTTACAATTATAATGAATTCATTACAAACCAAAGATTGATCACAATTTGACAGTTGTTGCAATTAAATGTCACCCTTAAAAGTTTGTAGCTAGGCCTTGTACCTCTTTCTTTTACCTAAAAAAAATTACTCTTAAGATCTTACCCAAAAAAATACCACTATAAGATAATTATTTTGGTACTAAAAAAAGTCATCCTAGAGCATGTGGCGATGTAGATCATATGGTTCCTTTTTTATCTTCTTTCCTTTTATTTTGAAGACATTGGTCATCCCTCTATGCTTTATATACATAAACAAAAAATGATGATTCATTCAAAAATGCTTTGGCTAGTAAAATCATTTATTTTTATATAAAAAATAAAATATCTTTTATGTAAAAAAATCATTTATGAATGCGCATAAAGAATAAAAAGTCCTAGCCCATAAATCAGGAGAAATTGGATACATAGGGCCTACTTGTTTGTACAGAGAATTGTCAAGCGAATTGTTTTGACTACAACTAGATGTGGATTGTGCATTTTACTCAAACAATGTATCTTTTAAGGGTTATGAAGAGAAAACACTCAAGAACAAATTGGAATACTTGTATGAATGTGAGGAGGTGATCTGGGCACAGTAGGCAAAGTTAACCTGGATGATTGATGGGGACCATAACATGAAATATTTCCACACAATTGTTAAGCAGAGGAAGGCAATCTATAGAGTAGATCGTATTTAGGATGACAATGGGGTATGTATGCAACTGGCTTGAATGGTTTTCATGCTCGTTCCTTCCAAATGCATTAGGATCCAATCAAGTAAGGAATTTTTGATATGATGTCTCACTTCTAAAATTCAAGCTTTTTGCTTAAGGACATGAATAAGTCTACCATTACCTTGCTATCAAAAGACTTTTGATCGATCAGTCTTTATAATGTCTGTTGTAAGATCATCTCAAAGGTCCTCTCTAATAGATTGAAAGATATTATTGATCCTTACATTACTTTTAATCAAAGTGCGTCAAAGGAAGACTCTTCTCTAATAATATTCTAATAACCTCAGAAGTTATGCATGAGGTTCGTTCTCTGAGAAAAGGAAAAATTCTTTGCTGAAATTAAAATTTGACTTCTCAAAAGCCTGTGACTCTATTAGCTTGAATTTCTTGAAAAGGTCTTGGCTAGAATGAATTTTCCTCATAAGTGGATTAACATGATAGTGCAATGTGTTATAACATTTTCATATAGTCTATTAGTAATCGGGGCTCTATTAAAACCTTTTGTGCTAGGAAAGGGAATTAGATAAGGAGATCCCTTCTCTCTATTTCTCTTTATAATATATGCCAATGTTTTATCATGCCACTACAAAATAAAGGCTATAGGAAGGAATTAACATAGGGAGGGATTCTATTAGTATGTCTTGTCTTATGTATGCTAATGATACAGTCTTCTTTTTCAAAGCCTTGATTAAGCAAGGCTAGCTAATTGACAAAGTCCTTCAAGAATTTAGTCTATTCCTTAGATTCACAATTAATAAGAAGAAATTTGAGCTAGTGTTTAGTCCTAATTCTTCTGGTTCCTTAAAGAAAGATATAATGGATGTTGTGGGGATTAAATTTCACCAAGATTAGGAAAATATCTAGCCATTTGGATAGACACAGGAAGAAGCAAGAAGGAGCTGTTTTAAGAACTACTAGATAAAGTTGTTGCACACTTATAGTCACAAAAGGCTGCTCTTTTTTCACAGGTAAGGAGACTAGCACTAATCAGATCCATTCTCTCTTCTTTTCTAGTTTACTAGTTGTCATGTATTAAGCTTCCTAAAGTATGGGCTAAACGGCTCGATAATATTTGTAGCATCTTCTTATAGGGTGAAAATAAGGATCATAATACAATACATCTTTTAAAATGAGGCACTTCTAGCTAAACACTTGTAGGGGATCTTGTCTAATAATTCATCTTTTTTTTATCACAAGAATATTTAAAAAGAAAGTTTTAGATTAACAGACACTTACCTTTAAGGCTCTGTCTTATATATCTTGGATGTGGAGAGGAGTGCCCCAAGTTAAGGATTTAAGCTCCAATCAACTTTTGTGGAAGGTTTACTTTGGATCTAACACACCTCTAAATCACCATTTACAATGGCTAATGTCGATTGGTTGAACCATGCTTAAAAGTTAGCCGGATCATGGATTTGCTATAGTATAATGGTTAAGATTGGAACCTAGGACTTCTTTAGTGGTTGCATTCTTTCGAACATCAATGGGCTATGCAAAACACTTTTTTTTCACTATTTGAATTAAAAGATAAAATATCTTGGGGAAGACGTTGTTATGGTTCTTATAGTGTGACAAAGGGTTAGGCTCTAGCAACCAGAATCATCGAAGAATAAGAGCCGCCACACATATAAGAAGCTTTATGAAGCCTTAAGATGCCTTACAGGATTATTATCATTATTATTATCATTATCATTATTATTATTATTAGGGTTTAGAGGTTGTTGAGGAATGCTCTTTTAGTAGCGGATATCTTAAGAAACCATCGCCTACCAGTCAATGTGGATTGTATGTTACGTAAGAAAGATCAAGAAGACTTGAATCATGTGTTTCTGGTTTGCCCCTTTGTGTGTGCAATATAGTTTGGATCTCTGTTAAGACTATGAATAAAGCAAATGTAGGCATGCGGGATTATATAATGGCTGAAAGGATGGCTTGTTAATTTAATCAATAAAGACCCAAATGCGGTTTTTACAATGGTAATAATTGTTTGTCATTTGTAAAATTTGGGAATACAATAATGAAAGGGTCCATTTATGGCAATAACACAAGCCTAACCACAGTTCTAGCTCAATTGAGGGCAATTTTAAACATCAGGT